TAATATAATATAATATAATATAATATAATATAATATAATATAATATATGAGATAACATAACATAGTATAGATTTAAAAATATATTAAAAATATTAATTTATATATAAAATAAAAATAAATATCTATTTCATGTGAAAAATAAATAATTTTTATTATTTTATAATAACAAAAATAAATATACTTATTTTTATTATTATTTTATAAATTAAAAATATATTGAAATATATGTATTTATATATAAAATAAAAAGAAAAATATATTTATTTTAAAATAAAAATATTTACTTTTACTTTTATTATTTTATAATAATAAAAATTAAATATATTTTATTTTATTTTTCTATTTTAAATATATATAAATAATAATTGTAAAAATAAAAATATATTAATATATAGAAATAGCATATATGTGCTAGTATATATATATATATATATATATATATATATATAGTATATATATAGTATATATATAATAAAATTATAAATTAACTATAAAATTCTAAATTAAATAAATTAATATTCAAGTGTGTTTCTTAGCTTTAGGCAGACCTGTGCTGTATGGACACCTTCTATTATAGCACATTTTTATTAGCGAATATAGATAAATATCCCCCCACACTAACAAAAATCCCATTTGTTTCACGTGATATTAATGCCTAGATCTGTGTTAAGCAAACAGAACCAAAGGACATGAGGTCTAAAGCAGTTTTTTATCCACAAATGCAAAGCAATTTGAATCCCTCACCAAAACAAACAAGATACAACACTCACAGAGGGCAAAAAAAAAAACCACAATTGCATGAAGCAGCAGCAATAAAGGCTCCACTTGTGAATAATCTGATTTATTCCAGATGAAAACCCATTTACAGCTATTTTGCAGCAGAACATAACACAATTCCACCTAAGTGGGCTGCAGTGATCAGCAGAGGTCCCAGATTCAAAGAGACTTTGGATGGAAACATGAAAGGAAATGTGAGTGCTGAGGAATATCCTGAATAATCCACACCCCGCTCTCCCAGCCCCTGCAGATGCTCCCACCATAAAGCAGGAGTTTATAATTACAATAATTGATGCCAAGGAGCTGCTTTTCCTCTCTTGCTCAGAGCAGAGCTGGCAGAGAGGAAAAACAGAGGGAGAAAAAATCCCAGTTTTGGTGCGTTTTTAATGGTTTTGTGCCAGTTTGGTGGAAGAAAAAGCAGAGGGAAAATCCCAGTTTTGGTGAGTTTTTAATGGCTTTGTGCCAGTTTGGTGGAAGAAAAAGCAGAGGGAAAAATCCCAGTTTTGGTGGGTTTTTAATGGTTTTGTGCCAGTTTGGTGGAAGAAAAAGCAGAGGGAAAAATCCCAGTTTTGGTGAGTTTTTAATGGTTTTGTGCCACTCTGGTGAAGAGCAAAAGCAGAGGGAAAAATCCCAGTTTTGGTGAGTTTTTAATGGTTTTTTAGCAGATTTATATCCTTCCTTATGATCCCATCCATGACAGGACTCAAAAATTGATCCTGTTATGCCCTCAGATAGAAAACCATTTCTGGAGTGATGATTTGCCTCAATATTTGCCTTTGAGGCTCTAATTGCAATAAATTGTAATTAAACAATTCCCTCTATACATTTTACTGACACAGGAAATTTCAGGGAACCCCTTGAAACTCTGTAAATTTGATTTTTTTACCCCAAATTTCCCCACGGGGTCAATATACCACAGCCTGAGAAACAACCCTGAGTCACTTTTCGGAAGGAGGAAGGCCAGAACATAAATCTCAGTGTCATGACCCAACAAAATCACTGAGGAAGGAGAAAATAAAAGGCATTTTCGAGCCACTGAACACTGAGTTCTGCTTTTAAGGAAGAGAACTTGCTCAGCAACAGCAAAATTTTC